TTTCTGTCACAATCTTAGCTGCCAGAGGGATGACCAGAGCCTCTATCATCTATGCCATTTTTTTTCTCTCCAGATGTTGGTTTTTAGTCTTTAGTACTTAGAACCAACCAAGTGACACATATGGAAGATATAGTTATTATTCGCCATGGCAATGTAAAAATAATAAATTACAAAAAAAATGAGAGGGAAGAGGCAAGGTCATTCCAGAGAGTAAGCAAGTACTCTCTAAAAGGCTAACTCCAGACTCAAAGTTTTTTTAAGTGTACTATTTTTAAAGATGTAAAGGAAATCTCTAGAAGAAATAAAGTTAACAAACATCAAAGAGTTGGCGAGGATAGGAGAACTGGTGCAAACTGCAAATAATTTCTTTTTTATAGTAAAGATTAAATAGAGTCTTTCTAAATTAAGAAACAGATATAAGGATTTTTTTTTTCTTTTACAAAGTAGTAAGCAATTTTACCCTCCTCCACCCCCCTAGGTCTAGCTACGCAGTGTCTAGGATGCAGTGGAGAATTCAATGAATAATTATTGAACATATTGGTTCAGCACATATTTTTGGAGTCCGTTATATGCCAGGCAGTATTCTAGGAATTGGGGATACAATGATTAAGAGGTTAAGTCTCTAACAAATTGATGGTCCTTAGATGGGAGGGATATTGGGAGGATAGGTGATAAAAGGGAAGAAATTAAGACATACATATTGCCAGCTATAAAAAAAACCACAGGGATGTAAAGTACAACATAGGGAATATAGTCAATAGGAGTGTAGTAACTATGTATGTCAGTTGGGTGCTGGATTTATCTGGCTGATCGCTTTACAAATTGTATAAATAATCACTATGTTGTGCACCCGAAACTAATATAATATTGTATATCAACCGTAATTGATCAATAAGTCTTTTAAAAAGAAATTAAGCCTCAGTGTTTGCAGATCTTACACACAATTGGAATGGAGTCATAACCAATAGCTACAGAATACAATATTAAGTAGTAGTAAGCACTATATGGAAAATAGAGCAAGATAAAAGAATAGACAGTAAATTACGAACGAATCTATCCCTCAGACTGTAAATTTGAAATCTCTGTTCTAAAACAGTGAAAATTTTTGTTCAGTGATACTTAGCTGAAACTAGAAGAAAATTAAAACCAATAACTACTATCATTGATTTATTATTAAGCAAGACCTGAGGGAAGCCCTCCTGTTGACTTTTCTCTTACCCAGAAGACCTTTCCTTGATGTTAGAGCAGTTCTGGTCATTCACAGATTGTACCATCATCTAATTACCATGTGAGCTGAGTCAAGCAGTCTTGGAAAATCTGAAACAGATGTGTTAAGACCGTTAAGGTCATACGAAAACAAATTTTATTAACATTTTAAACTATGATTTATGTGTAAGACTCTTTCTTATCCTATGAAGAATTTTAGAGGGTATTTGTTTCAGATTGATTTATTTTATGAAACAATCCAGCCTTCTCTAAAACTGTGTGCCCCAAAAGGAAAATGAATGAAGACGTTAAAAGACAACATAAAAAAGAAAAATGTGCGAATGATCATAAACATGAAAAAAAGTCAACATTAGTAAGGATCAAAAATGCAAAAACCAAGTGAGATAGCATTTTTGCCTATCAAATTAACAAAGTTTTTTTGCTTTTAATAATAACACCCACTGTTAATTAGAGTAGAAGAAAATAAATACGCTCATGCATTACTGGCAGAATTTCAAATAATTATGAAACCTTTTATAGGTTTCAATTGATACAATTTGGCATTCAATAACAGTAAAAACTTAATATATACATGTCTTTCATCCCCAAAATTCTGCTTCCAGAAATTTAAGAAGTAATTAAGTTAAAGATTGAACTATAAGAATGTCAATAACAGCATTGTTTATAATGGTGAAAAAAATTTAAATAATCTATATATCCAACTATAAAATAAATTGGTTAAATTATGGTAAAATTAGATAAGACATACCCTTAAAAATAGTAATGTAGATGCCTACTTATTGACATGGAAAGATATGTTGTTAACTCAAAAATGTAGGTAATAAAATATGTGTAATATAAGGCTAATTTTTTTTTTAGGAAAAAGTATATGAAGACATGGAAAAGAGTATTAAAAATTAACCAAAAATGCTAACTGGCTAACTGTAGAAATGTTAATCTTTTTAATTCTACTTTTTTTATTTTTCATACTTGTAGAATCATTTTTTTAAAAGAACATTTAGAGTGACGTCAGAAACACGTCACTCTAAATGACGGCAGAGTGAGAGGTGTCCCCAGATCTCTCCCCTTGAAACAGCAATAAGCTGAACATCTAACACTCAACAAAATACGCCCAAACTGCACACCAGCACTTCTGAGCATGGAATCTGCGTGTAAGAACTACACAGCAGGGATCCAAGAGGCTTAGACGCCACCTACTGGAAACCAAAAGAAAAACGCCTTCTTTGCAACAGGCTAAAGAGAGACCTTTATATAATAAATCTTCCTTCTGGAAAAAAAGCAGAAAACACTTCCATTAATGCCCAGGTGGAGAAATAGGTCATTAAACCCCATGAGTAACCAAGGCGACAAGGCAGCTCAGAAAGAAAGAGGAAAATCTCCAGGAAACAAGCTTGCAGACATAGAAATATGCGACTTAAATGACAGAATTCGGGATGGTACTCGGTGAGTTCCAAAACAAATCATAGCAACATTTTCAGGAACTGAAAAAACGACTAAATGAGCAGAGCAAGGAGATTGAAACCCTCAAAAAGAATCAAATAGAACTTCTGGAGATAAAAAACACACTGCAAGAGTTGAAAAATGAAATAGCAAGCTTGGGAAATGGAGTCGACCGAAAGGAGGAAAGGATCAATGATATCGAAGGCAGAAATCTAGAAATAAATCAGGAGGAAGAAGAAACCGAAGAATGAAAAATAATGAAAGAGAAATACAAGAACTAGCTGATTCCACCAGGAGAAGACACGTAAGAATAATGGGCATTCTCAAAGGCAAGGAAAAGGAGAATTTCCCAAATCTAAGGAATGAGCTGGAGCTTGGAATTCAAGAAGTCAGCAGAACACCCCATTATCTCAACCCAAAAAGGCCTTCTCCAAGACACATTGTATTAAAATTATCAAAAATCCATGACAAAGAATTCTCAGGGCAGCCAGGGAAAAGAAGACGGTAACCTATAAAGGAAAACCCATTAGATTATCGTCGGACTTCTTGGTCTGGTAATGTCGACAAGTATTCTTATAGTATAGATACAGGTTCATTGCATAATAAACATAATGCTTTGCCATCTAATTTGATAATAAAATAATCCACACTTCATTATACCTTAAAAATGGAATATTCTAAGTCCACCTTTTTTTATTTGACAGGTATATTCTGGTAATAAAATAACAAAATGTCAAAAAAAATAAATAAATGAACATGTGCTAGTTATTTATCCTCTCCTGGCTCCAAAACCATTCTTTTTGCCTGCTCTGCGAAAATGGATCTGAGCCTTTAAAATATTTTTCCTATGCCAGGTGACGACAATGTTTCGTCAGTAGAGGGCGCGAGAGAGATTTCAGAAAGGATTTTGCTTCCAGCTTCTTGCTGGTGGGTTTCTCAAGTGCCCAGCTCCTGAAGCTTCCCCAGGATGTAAAGAAAAACTCACATTTCCTATGTGTCTCTTTTACTACCACAGTTTCACTCTGACACCAGATGTGTGGGTTTTCCACTCATCAAGCAATTCTGTGGCACTTGAGATACCATGATAACAAAACCTAGATGAATACCTGACCTAATTGCTGTTTCCACCTCTCCCAGAAACATATTTTAATCAACCAGCCTGGAATTTTATGGTCAAGCACCAGTAAAGTAATCTGGGCCCTTTCCATTCACCTCCGCCCCCCACCATAGAAGAAGGGGCAATTTGCATAATAGAATCCCTCACCATTCCCTTCCCCTCAAAACAAGATTTCCTGGTCTGAAAATAATTCTTTTCTTTTAATAGCTTCCACACCCCACCTTTCTTCCTATAAAACCTTCCATTTGGTGCAGACCCTGGTAGGGCCCTTATAGTTGCTGGATGGGATGCTACCCTATTCATGATCACTTACTAAACTCAATTAGATCTTCGAATTTCCTCGGTTGAATTTTGTTTTTTTAACACATCCACCTTGCACGTTCCCATCTGCAGTGGGACAAGGCAACACTGTCCTCTTGTTTCAGCTTTCATACTGTAAACAAGTAAGTATCTTTTTCACAGTCTATGTGCTGCCCCCCCTTTTCCACATTTTTGTGCCTTTTTTTTTTAGTGATATCACCGTTCAAAATGGCCCTCAAGCATTGTCCTATAGTGCTGCCTACATGCAAGAAGATTGTAATGTGCCTTATGTAGAAAATACCTGTGTTGGATAAGCTTTGGGCATAAGTTACAATGTTGGCTGAGAATGTGGTACCAGAGCAAAGGAGTCCATCTGCCCACGTGCCTCTCCTCTGTGCATGCTTCAGCGGCATGAGCTACGTTACAGGTTTTGCAGCAAAGGAAGTAAACGTTTATTTTAGAGAGCTGCAAGTCCTGGAGACACAGGTGAGATACTGCTCAACGGGATCGATCAGACAAAGAAAAATCATTAGCCTTGGAAACTAAGGGATTTGGAGTCATGGGTGCTGCTGATTGGACAGGGCTGGGGCATTGGTCATTGGGTCCAATTCTGGAGTCAGCCATGGCCATCATCGCGTCTGGTCCTGTGGTCCGACAGGCTGTTCAGGCTGTTCTGCCTCGATGGGGCTGGGGCTGAAACACCTAAAGCCAAGATGTTGTCTTTAGTGTAACTGAAACTTGTCCTCATGATCGATAGCCCTGAGGCTTAATTCTTTAAAGAGTTGACACTGGCTGGAACTTTATGTCCTAAGGCTTAATGATTAAGGGGCATAGGCATACAAAGATGGAAGGATAAGGCCAAAAAATGCAAGTGAGTCACAATGCCATTATGTTAGGCAAAGCTGGTTTGAATCAGAAAAACCTATCTTGACGAAGTCTGTGTGTAGTTACAAATGAAATGTTAATGAATCAACAGTATATATTTAATAAGGTATCCTTCTTTAGCAAACCAAAGTCTGTGTGCTTGACACTTCAAAAGGCCAAAACTCAAAATTGCAGAGTTTGGAGTAAGGGACGTTTTATTGGTCAAGAAGGTGTCAACTGAGAAGATGGGAGACCTAATGGTGCCTCAAATCCATCTTGCTCTCTGGAGTAGGTTAAGGGTTTTTAAGGGGTTGAGAGGACACTCATTTCAAAGTGCCACTGGGACAAGTTTTAATTGCAGGACTTTGGAACTTGGCCATTTGTGGTAAAGGGGGATCAACTCTGGATCTTCCTGGACAATGGACCCTTGGCTTCTGAAGGGGTTCCAGTGTTCACAGTACAGTTACATCCTGGTCTTTGGTTCTTTGGGAGTGGAGGTGGGGTGGATTTTGATTCCTGGTACAGCTGGAGGCCAAAGTTTTCTCCTGTGCATGCTTCAGCGTCATGACGCACAGCCCTGGTTTGCTATCTTTGAAAAACTGCTCAGTACTTTGTCAAGCAGGATAGAACCATTTTGAGCTGACTCCATGCAAACACTTCACCAGAAACATCAAATAAGCTTATGCATTGAACCATTGATGAAAGTGTTGTGACCAAAAGCTCACAGGAATTTAACCCTGAATTTCCCCTAAAAGTAATGGTTCAATATTTGCTAATTCAGTGTTCACAGTGACTATATAGAACAGGACTGTTCAGAATAATAAGAATCGATTGTATTAAAACTAAGCCTGTTTCAAAGAAGCATAAATGAAAGAAAAAAAAAACCTCAGTGATTAATTCACTTTTTACGTGGAAGTGTTCTTCACATTTGCATATTTGAATGTGCACTATTTTTAAAGCTACTGCTAATGTTGGGTTTTTCATAACTTCAGATTTAAAAATTTTATATTTTCTTTATGTATTTTAGGAGAATTTACAAAGGTATTTCTTTGCCCAAAGCTTAACAATGGAAAATGAATGAAATGAATTTATCTGACCGCTCTATCATCCCACAGCAATTGTGAGCAGACTAGTTACTTAAAGTTGGTGAAAACAGAGTTTCTGAACCAGAGAAAACCTCTGTTTCACATATTTCTTCCCAATTACACAATTTTAAAATGCTATGTTGCAGGTAGAGTCTAAAGATCCCCTATTCCTGTTAAGAAATCTGTTGCCACATTTTAATATTCTATTGGAGGGCAACATGGAAGTATAGGGAATTCTTCCAAACCGCTAACAAGAGCGAAGAACAGATAAAATGTTAGCCTTGGTACTTTATTTTGGCCCCAGCCAACATTAAAATGGTCTCAAAATGATCATATTGATCCAAGCACCTTAAGTTTGTTGTTGATGGCAAAGGTTTAAGAATTGCCTGGGTCCTAGAGGACCCAGACTTCTTGGGGGCGGTTTTTCCACATCAGAGCTGATTAATAGCATTTTTGCTCAAAGAAGAAATGAAGGTTCTGGTGGGAAGCAGGCTTATATCCCTCTTCCTTCTAACCTGCCCTTCTGACCATCTTCCCCAGCTGGAGCGCCTTCTGTTTTCTCTCTGTGTGCACATTCAAATAGGGAGCAAGCAGTGGCGGTACCCCATACTCCTATCCCAACCACCCACAGCCATCCAAATAAAAATAAGAATAATAAAATCATGTCAATATCTACACAAAGCATAGCTATTTTTATTGATACGTATGCACAGTTTAAGCCAAGGCCTTCTGCTTCCCCAGTGTGCACCAGCTTCAAATCAAAGCATTCCCTTCCATTATAGATCACTGCTGGTGAAGTTAAGAATGGAGAGCTCTGGCATGTAGGCATTGGGGGGTGAGGATATCATGAAAGAGGATTAGACAAGATTTCTTTGCCAGCCTCCCTCGAGCCTCATTTCAGGTGACAAGGAAGAAGACAGTTGCTTCAAATTCTTGCTCTGTGCCCATACCCACAAATCCAACCCATGTCTCCAAAGTGATATTGGAGAGGTTTGAGGAACTTCAATGACCTTTTTTGAGGTGGTGGCCTTAGCTGATCTGCTTCACCATTCATTGGAAAACACACTTGTTGGTCCTGGAGCTTTGAAGCATAGTGGCCTTTTGTTTGTCAGTTGAAATTTCAGGATTAGCAAGAGAAGTTAGAAGGTTTTAGACACTGTGGCCCCCTTGGTGGTTCTTAAGCCCCAATTCATTTAAATAAGATGAAATAATAACAGTTACAATAAGCTTCGTTGTAATTATCTTAATGTATTTTTAATGTGATCCTTCACTGTAAATTGAAGCTCAGTGCCTACATCAGTACTTATACCCTGCAGAGAGAGAGTTTCTAACAAAACTCCTCTTTTATGATTTAGCACAGCATTCAGTTCTCTAGTTATACCCTACTGTTTAAGGTTATTAATGTCACACGCATGTGTTGCCTCATTATTGCTGGGGAGTGGGGCTCTAAATCCCAGCTTGCACAGATGATGAAGCATCCATGTAATGAATTCATTTATCTCAGAGCATTTCCTCTTGTTTGAAGGCCATATGGGTTCTTACGTTTGCTTGAGTAATAGATTGTTTTTGTTTGTTTGTTTTGTTTTTGTTCTTTTTATTACTTTTAAGAGACCAGTATACAGTGTTAAATAGAAACTTTCATGGCTGGAAGCATGTCTGAAAGAAAGGGTTTATTGAGCCACGTGCTAGCCAGCAATGGACCAGGTCCTGGGACCTGCAGCCTGAACCTCCAGCAGCAGGGCAGAGGAGACAACAGGTCTGTTGTCTTGGAGCTGCGGGCTCTTTTGTGCATTATGTTCGAGGAAGAGAGATGAAAATTGTTCTGAAAGAATTCACACTACTACAGACAAGGAGAAGGTGAAGGGAGGGCAGTTCTAGGATCGGGAAACAGTCCGTAAGGGAGAAATATTTACTACTTTTGACTGGTTGTGGGTGACAGTCCTGAAAGTTCATGCGTAAGCAGGATGCGGTGGCCTCTGGTGGTCACGACAGAAGTTGATTCAAAGTTCCAACATAATGTTCAGGAATGTGAGCATTCTAGTTGGCCCACAGTAATTAACCATTTAACTGGTTAATTACTCTCATCTCTCTCTTCCTCCACCTGCTGTAATTTAATTTAGGACATCTTGCAATTTTCTCCTGTCAACAACAATACATATAAATCCATCCAACCTTCCTAAGTATTTGTTTCTCTTTCTTTCAACTCCTATTAAATGAATAGATCCAGCTGCTTGGTAAAGATTACTATAGATTCTGGAGGAAATATGTCTCTACAGGTTGTTACCGATCCTTCACCTCCTTGGGTTTCTATGAAGAGTATATGCGTTAGAGTACCTAGGAGAGAACTGACATGCAGTGGGTTCTCCGTGAATGTCAGTCCCATCCCTTTGGGGTTGCCAGGTTTAGCAAAATAAATGTTAAAAATACAAGGTGTCCAGTTAACTTTGAATTTCAGAAGAACAGTGAAAGGTTTTTAGTATAAGCATGTCCAAAAGATTGCATGAGACATACGCTAAAAACATTCATCATTCATCTGAATGATCAATCGAATGAATGAATAAAAGAGTGCCTGGACAAACAGATAGTTCTGTGCTGCCGGACAGAAAATATTTTCTTCTACATTTCTAGCTTCTCCTGGCCGGTCTAATAATCAAATTGACATAAGACAGATTAGCAAGAGAAAAATGAAGGAAAATTTATTAACATGTGTACCCCCTGTATACATGGAGAGACTCTGGAAAATGGGCAGAAGCTATCACTTTAAAATGCCAGTTAGAGGAGATCAAAGGGATTACAGAGAAGGAAGACACAGAAGGAGGTGGTATAGTAGGCTGAGTAATGGCCCTCTGAAGATGTCCACATCTTAATGACTAGAACCCATGACTATGTTATTTTACATAGCAAAGGGGGTTCTGTAGAGGATAAAAGAGACTTTGTAGGTGATCCTCAAGGTAAGGTCTTTGATATGTGGACATTATCCTGGATTATCCAGGTAGGCCAAATTGGGTCCTTCTAAGAGGAACACAGTGGGGTCAGAGTCTGAAAAAACTTTGCGACAATGGAATGACAGAGAGAGAGAGATTACAAGGTGCGATGCTGCTGACTTTGAAGATGGAGAAAGGGGTGAGACATATGTATGCTGAAAAGCTTTGCATTGTTCTTTTTTCATAAAGATTATGACTGAGACTTTAAGCTAACACAGGTCCATGGGAGGAGCCAGGGCTTGTGGGAGGAGTTCTCACACTCTGTGTCATTATACAGGAAGAACTCTACACTTACAATAAAGCTCTATGATTGTAACTGTCCCTCCCCTTAACTTCCTTTTGTCTTCCATATATACTTTATCTCTGCACACTACGGTGTGTGCAGATGACTCACCATGTTTGCATGCACTGGATTGCAACTTTTTCTTTCTCCTGAACAAATCCTTTTGGGGACAAAACACCTAGTCAATATTTTTCAGTTGACAGGGATCATCACAGGATTTAGGGAGCCTCTAGGAGCTGGAAAAGACAAAGAATTAGATTCTATTCTAGGGCTTCTAGAGAGAATCCCTACCCAATCCCTAGCGGTCACTTTGCCATTAGCAGCTCTGCAGACTCATTTTAGATTTCTGACCTCTGAAAGTCTAAGAAAACAATTTCATGTTGTTTTAAGTCACTAAATTTGTGGTAAGCGGTTACAGCAGCAATAGGAAAATAATAAGGGGGTTATAAATAATAAACAAAGAAACATGTTTCAGCGAGCTAGGAGCCTGCCTAGCTGGGAGAAGTCTGATAGATTTGCATGGAACCATAAACAAGGACAAGGAGAGGAGGGGGATAGAAATACAAGGGGTCGAAGAACACAGAAATTGGTGGATTCTCAAGAATTGAAGAGAATGGGTGTAATAGTCGGCTACAGCTGCCAGAACAAAATACTACAGATTAGGTGGGTTAAAAAAACATTTATTTTCTCACAGTTCTGGAGGCTAGAAGTCCAAGATCAAGATGTCACCCAGGTTGGTTTCTTCTGAAGCCTCTCTCCTTGGCTTGCAGGTGGCCACATTCTCACTGTGTCCTCCCATGACCTTTTCTCTGTACATGCTCTGTCCAGGTGTCTCTGTGTCCAAATTTCCTCTGTTCAAAGGACCCCAGTCAGGTTGGATTAGGGTCCATCCTAAAGGCTTAGTTTTTAATTCAGTCACCTCTTTAAAGGCCCCATCTCCAAATAGTCACATTCTGAGGTACCAGGGATTAGGGCTTCAATATAGGGATTTTGTGGGGACAGTTCAGCCCACAACAATGGGGTTGACAAATGGAGAAACATTCTACAAAATAACTGGTTAGTGAGTGACCCAGATTGGCGATTAAGGCGATATATGACAATTCAATGCAATAAAAAGTGATCCAGAATTGGATGCAAATTTGGAAAAAAGACTTTAGTGGGACAATTGGCAATCATTTGAATAAGGTATGTAGGTTAGGTAATAGTATTACATCAGTGCTTATTTCCTTGTTTTGATAATTGTACTATGGTTATGTAAGATGTCAGTACTCGAGGACACTTGGGTAAAGAGTATTTAAGAACTCTACTATTTTTGCAACTCTTTTCTAAGTCTGGAAATACTTCAAAATGAAAAGTTAAAAATTAAAAAATTAGGTAAAATAGGGAAACAAAGAGGAGAGACAGAATGAGAATGGAATTGGAAGTTACAGTGAGGAAAGGAAAACAAGCAAGGAGAAACCGAGTTCCATTGGATCCCCAGTGACCCGCCTCTGGGACACTGCCCAGGAGCTTGGCACCTATACTGAGGCAACAGTCATTGAGTCATAAGCTCTGAAGAGAAGGCAGTAGGCCCATTGAGCCCCAGTTCCCATTCATGAAAATTTAAAAATTTGAATTTGTACCTGAAGTTAACAGTCAGTGCACTGCGTGTGTTGAAAGTGTGAATTCCCTGCATGTACCCATTTAAAATACACTGCCATCTTGGTAACTGAGTTTTGGTATCTATTCTCCGCTCCCGCTCCCCGCCCCGCCCCCCGCCCCGTAACTCCCCTTCCCGTTAACCTTTTTTGGAAGATATAATTCAGGTCCCATAGAAATCGCCGTTTTAAAGTGTATTTAATGGTTTCTGGTGCAACCATCACCACTATCTAATTACAGAACATTTTCTTTGCCTCCCTCCCCACCCCCCGCCCCGCCAAAAAATAGAATCCCTACTCAATTAGCAGTCACCCTGCATTCCTCCCCCACCCCCACCCCGCTTCCCATCTCCCAACCTCTGGCAACCACTAATCTGCTTTCCGTCTCCACGGCTTTTTCTATGTAGGACATTGCTTGCAAGTGGATAATGCATTCTGGAGACCAGCCACATTTCAAATGCTCAGCCCGCACAGTGGCTGGTGGCTACAGGATTGGACGGCGCGGCTTGGGTGTGCAAGAGGCGCCCAATCGCTCTGGAGCATTTGGAGGAAGCAGGTGCAGGTGTAGGGAGGAGGCGCCGGGAGCGCGGGGCATTGTTCGGTTGCAGGCGGGCGCCCACGGCGTGGTATGGCCAGCTGGTGGCGGGCGCTGGTACGCGCGGCACAGCGCCACCCATGGCCCACAAACGTGGTACTCTACACCACGCTCTTCTCTGCGGGAGACGCGCTGCAACAGCGGCTGCGGGGCGGCCCGGCGGACTGGCGGCAGACGGGGCGCGTGGCCACCGTGGCCGTGACCTTCCACGCCAACTTCAACTACGTGTGGCTGCGCCTGCTGGAGCGCGCGCTGCCTGGCCGCACGCCGCGCGCCATCCTGGCCAAGCTGGTGTGCGACCAGGCAGTCGGCGGGCCCGTGGCTGTCTCGGCCTTCTACACCGGTGAGGGGACCGGGCAGGGTCCAGGGGGCCAGAGGTAGGGGCCAGGGGCTGGACACGGTGAGGAGACCAGGGTTCAAGATTGGGGGACTGCGGGCAGGAGCCGGGGAGCGGGCTTGGTATTCATGGGGGGAAGGGCAGGATCCAGGGCTGGAGAGGGCGTGCTGCAGGTGCAAGGGCCAAGAAGTCTGGGGACCTGTGATTAAGGGAGTTGAGGGAGAAAAGTTGAAGGGCAGTAGCTGGAGAGTCCAGGGATTAGGGGGCCAAAGTCAAGTGGGTCAGGGATCTGGCG